CTACACGTTAGCTAGGGATGTACAAAGAAATCCCTCATGGCAAAGCAAGCCCAGGTATTCTTTGAAATCACACCCACTATGTAAGAGTAATAAGAAGAAAGTGTATTGGAATTATTTTAGGTGATACTTCCGAATATTCTTGGATACACATTTTGCCACATTATTCTGTTGAATAATGTTGCTACAAGTAGTGCAGACAATGCAGTGGTTACACCAGTATAACTGGTTCTGCAACAAAGTTTGGCTTCAGAAGGTTGAAACCACTTTCCCCCTCTTGGAGAGACTAAGGAGCCCAAGCCTGGACAAAATCCCAGTTTGAAGTTAGATGTAACAAGTACAAAACTGAACTGATAACTGATATAAATACTAATAAACTGATAGAAATAATGATAAACCTGATGTAACCACTACCAGTGCTGATTTCACTTGGAGCATTTAGTGACTCACTTCTGAATTAGGCTGAAAGCTGCGTGCACCTGTCCACAGCCTGCTCCTGCAGTACGGAGGATGGAAAGCCAGTCCCAGGAAAGCATTCCAAACCCAGCGTTAGCCTCTAACATTACGGGTAAAAGCTTAAACAAAAGATTGGAGCGAGCCGCACAATTAAGCAGAGAAACGTAAAAAGAAATGGTGATTCTTTTTCCTTATTTTATTGGGTAAATGTTTTAAAAGGTAATAACAATAGTGTTAAAACTACTACAATATCTTTCCACAGCCATATCTCACAGACCCACAGAGAACCTTCTATTTTTTTTTTTTGCTTTTTCCTCATTTTTCTCTTTTTAAGCCGTACTTATATTAAAATGCCCATTTCAACAGTTTCTTCACACTAATAGCAATTAAATGTGGAAGGAAGGAGGATCTAGTTATAAAGGAAGGGGGTTCAGGTAATCTGTGATATTACTGTAATCAATCAAGTTACTAAGGAAGGAAGGAAAAGACGGAGGCCTTAGAAGCTACGCCAGGTAGCTCTGAGCCCGTTTGTGTGTCACCATTGCATTAAAGATAACTCAAGATGCTGGTGAACAATTTAAAGTAATTTTTTTGTAACATATAAAACACTAAAATAACTTAGAAACTAGATCCAAATATCTTGAAAAGAATCAACTTTGATATACAAAAACAGTCATAAGTTGTTACAAAAGTTTCAAACAAAAGTTTGTTTTCTCAGTGCGTTTATGTACCAGCGCAATTACTGGGTCCAGAGCAAAGAAAGAGGTTTTTATTTTTTATTTTTTCTTTAACAGTAATAAAAAACGAGGAAAACATATCTTTGTATATAAAGAATCATTGCTGGTCTTAAGAATAAATGTAACCAGAAACCCTTAAATCTGAGAGGCACACTTTGGGTTTCTCTTTTTTTTTTCTTTTTCTTTTTTTTTTTTTTTAAACATAAAAGAAAAGTCACCAGTTTATTTAAATGGAGGAGATACTCAGACTCCCCAAATAAACTTAATTCAATTAACATCACTAGCAAAAATCAGTTAGAAACTGTACAAAAATAAAAAAGTTAACACATTTAATCCTGCAGGGATTTTGTAAGGACTGGAAGGCAGGCTTTAGGAGCAGCATTTGGGCATGGCTGGAGGCTTCTTTGGTTCGATCTAACACACATAAGAGATGTAACCTACTCCAGACAACAACTTTAAAACCCGCACGGTTGAAGACAAGTAAAGAGGTCCGTATACAAACGCCAGGGTGTGCAAATGGGTTCGACTGCCTTGATTTAAGAGTGTATCTGAGGTCAGAACTCGAGTGTGCCCTCCCCCTGCTAGGATCAGCATTGGGGTCGAGATGGTGGAAAGTCAGTGCTACAGCAGTCTAGGCAGAAGGAAGGCCACTTGAAATGTGACGAAGTAATAGCTCCATGTCAAGTCTACGGTTTTGTTGTCTTAACTCAGTTTACAGAACAGGGTTTTCAGCAACGTTAAGCAAAAGAATTAAAAAAACCCCCCAACAATCTCTTTAATGAATAAGGCAAACTGAGTAGTGCTCATAAACAAAAAATTAGCATTCCAACTTAAACAGTGAAATAAGCTACTGGGATGTACCTTAACTTCTTATAAAGCACCCCAAATTAAAAAAAAAAAAAAAAATCAGATTTCAAAATCTGTCTCTCACACCAGCAATATATCTAAAAGGGTACTAAACACACCTATGAGGGAATGACATTTGTGAAAGCAATCGTTGATCAGCTTTATGCAAACAGACCTATTCTGTCCCAGTGCATGTCCCAGTGAACTGCACGTTTTGTACAAAGAAACCCACAATGACACAGAAACAATCCATAGCGTTGTCAGCACTCGCGTGCCGAGGAGGTAGGTGCCCTAGAAACACTGTAGGTAGACTGATTCTTCCAATTGTTTCACAGAAATATCATACAATCTGATTGACCACAGACTCAGTAACAGTTTTTTAATTAGTGATACAAAACTCTGGTCCAGAAGGGTCTGGCATTAACTCATTTCAGAAGCACACCTTTACAGTTTGTATAACACCCTTTTAACTATATTTTTAAGCAACGGCTACTAAGAGATAGACAAAAATGCGTTTGTGCATTATGCTGTATACAAAAAGGAGACAAAACTATCCTTTTCTCCCCCAAGCCATGGTGGGAAGTATTGCTGACCTTGTCCTTAAAAACCTGCAGGATTGTTTATTCATCAGTATATCATTATTACACTGGTAAGAAATTCTGTATAACATCTGCATATATCGAAGATTTTTTAAAAAATCTGATATGATTTTAGATCCGCATGACCAGTCACGTGACCTGCTTGAGGTTGATTAGCACCTTTCAATACATATATATTTTTATATATAATAGATCTTTTTAAAAAACTTCTAACAATGAGCTCATACGAAGCATGAGCATGCTGTAACGAGATGACAGATAAAGATGGGGTTGGATGACATTTTTTTTTCTTTTTTTTTTTTTTTTTGCAGCAGAACGATTCAGTTTGTGCTCAGTTTCCCTATAAGGGCAAGAAAAAACCCAACACAACTCTATCAGGTAGCCGCTTGTTCACCATTTCCACTTGAAGACTAAGCCATTTAAAAGTGTTCCCCAAGCAGAAACAAGACAACAGTATCATCCAAAATAGCCTCTGTATAAACATCTATTAATTTTTGCAGCTTCTGGCTGGCATCTCTTGGCTCCTGAAATTTCAGGCCCTCTGCTTATAAATTAAGGCATCACAACTGAAAATGTTAATATTTGGACATCAAATGCTGTGGATGAAGGAATACCAAAGACCTCCTACAAGAACCTCCATAGAAATTAAGGGGCAAAGCTAACCTCACATAAGGGATGAGCATAATTTATCCATATCTGGTTTTTAAACCCTACTGAAACGTTTTTTATAATTAGCCTGATTTTTTTTTTAACAACTGAATTTTAATTGGTTTTACCTATTTGAATTTCATATGTCTATATATTTACAAACATTCATTATTCAAAATAACTGGATTTTCTGCTTACTGTGGCTTACTCACTCACATTAGGAAGGTCTTTTCTGTAACAGACGGCACGTGTTGTCCCCTGGAACATGGACTGAACGTCAACAGGTATTAGTGGGAGTTCTGCAGGCACACGAGCGAGGAGCTAGCTCCGACCATACACTGGGCTTGCAAATATACCACACATACCTTTTACTAAATCCTATTTTTACAGCAGGAAAAAGTTCCCATCAGTTTTCTTTCTTCTACCGTGTGGAGGGGTATCAGAATTATTACACAGTACTTGCAGCTCTCAAGTACTATTCCTGTAATAGATGAAACCATGTAAAATTATGGCATACTTGTCCTGTGCTCTTTCACAACAGTCTTTTTTAATTTTTTTAAACAATAGTTAACTTCTTATCTAACTATTCATGGACTTGATAAAACTCAACAAGTTCAAAAGCAGAAGAAAGAACAAAACAGGGATTTTTCTTTCCAAAATAGGTTTGCTATTAACAACAACAAAAAAATCTCACTTTAAAAAAAATCCCCCAAAGCCTGACGCCAGAGCAGACTCAATATGGTTTGCTAGAATGTCTGGCGTATTTGCTATATTTTTTTTCTATGAATTTTATATATAAGTATATAGTTATGTCATAGTCAAAGGCACTAAAATCTAAATCCATTTTCTTCCTAATATGACATCTGCTACTCACCAACCTGTTTTTAAAAACGAATGTCACTCCTAATTTGAGATCACCAGAAAGGCATCGTCTCATTACAAATGCATTATTACGACCAGTCTTGACAGGGCTGGGTTGCCCGCGATTCCCAGCACAGCACAGGAGACAGGTGTCTGGTAGCCTACTGGATGATGGGACGCCCTAGCAATTAGACCAGTGGATTCTGAAAATGCTGCCAGGTTAACATCACCTCTCGTTGTACCTGTAATTGCTTCTCTTCATCCAAAAAAGCATCTCGTAGGTCAGCCTTGCCATTCTGGCTGTACGTGCTGGATCTGAAGTCATGTATAGCGATAGCTACATGAAATCTTTACTGTGGGGTGAGATCCTGTACACACAACATTATTAAGAATGTTATGAAAATGCAATTCATTGTCTAGTAGAATACCTGAATCTGATATGTTTCAATCCCTGTCAGACCTATTAATGCAAAAGCCATGAACGCCCTTTTGCTAAGCAAAGCATCCCTAACTGTAATCCTTAAACTCTTCCTTCCATCCACAGTCACAGAAAGCCTTGATTGATATAATTCAATGTTAATGAAGTAGAAATTTAAAATTTCATAAAAAACCCAAGGGCTCTATATGCTGCAAAAAAATCTGCAGTGACTCAGTAATAAAAAAATTATGGGATCTTTGTAGTAATGCAGTTTTCCCTCCCGTTGCCATGATGCGCTTAAGCAAGAAGCCTCAGCATGGCAACGGAAACTATCATCATAAAATGGTACAGTAATAGAGATAGCTAGACCAAGAAGGGGCAGGGTCTCCTGGGAAGAGGTCTGCAGAGAGGTCCAGTGACTGGTCATGCGGCTCAGTGTCAGGAATAATGGTTGTACGGTGGAAGGGGGTGCCCAATACCATTCTGGAAGTGATGATGCTGACGATGGGCAAGGTACTCTGCGTAGCTCATCGTCATCTTCTCACTACGGTACCTAGAAAAGAGCAAGAGAAGCAAATTCAAGAACTGTCACCAGGAAGCTGTAAAGTAGCACTAAAAATACTGCGCCAGTGGTGTGTTTCATGAGGACAGCTCCGTACTTCTGACGTTAGGAGTAAGACTAACTTCAGTCGCACAAGGGCAGGGAGGGAACTGCCATGGTTGTCAGGGTCATTCTTGAATCACATGACAAATCACAACATCAATACTTATGAAACAGAACTGTTAAAAATTGTTGCCCACTATGTTGCTCAAAGTAGAGGGGGGTAGAAACTCATGATTTATCGAGAATGTCCCCAATCTTCAGCCAACTCTCTACGTAAAACCTAGGAGAAAAACTGTAAACAAGCACTACAGATTTTTGGCCCGTTTTTAAATATTCGGTATCAATTGCCTGCCAAATTCCGCTTTTAAAATAATCCCAGCTACATTGAATGGGGTTACAGTCTTTTTAGACTAGAATCATAGATGACCAATGACTGTGTTGTCTCTCAATTTCAACAGCTCCCAGAACAACCTTCCCCATAGTTCTACCAGGCACTGAAGCGAGACTGACAGGCCTGTAATTACCAGGGTCTTCCTTCTTACACCCTTCTTGAAAAATGGGACAACATTTGCCAGCTTCCAGGCAACTGGGACCTCTCCAGACTCCTAAGACCATTGAAAAATAATGGAGAGAGGTCCCACAATAACGTCAGCCAACTGTACGTAAGGAAAAGCAGAATCCAGGCCCTGACAACCAATATTTTGGACGTAATTGCATCGGTATTGTTTGACAACAAGGACCATATTGCCACATTTACACTTACGTGCAGAAGTGTAAAATCTACACAAAACCACCACTATTCCACATTTCCACAACTTTCACTTAGGAAGACCTGGCATAAGAGATCTGGTAAATGAGGTCTGGTGAATTCAGCTACAGTGAATTAAAATACTGCCACCTCTCCTTTCTATCATATTTTTCTTCTGGAGTTGCTCTGGTTGTTCTCTCCTCTTTTACCGCTGAAAACACCACAACAGGTGGCTCAACCACTTGCACACACAACCCCACACCAACGTTTAAACTACTGTGGAGTTACCAACTGCAGCAATTAAGGGAGCAAACACGTTTGCTTCTGTTGCCTCTTTTCCAGAGGAGCGGAGCACACCGCCTTGCACTGGCAGCTTTTTGCTTCACTGGACGCGTTTCAGAGCACCGAAGGTGCCCACACGGATCGGTACGGCAGCGATTGTTCACGACGTACTGACGTAACAAACGGCCGCTGGTCCCTGCCGGGAGACGAGCTGCAGCTCTTGGACTGGTGTGAGCGGTACGTGGCACCGCACCTGGCGAGTCAGCTGCCCGGGGAACGAAATCCCCTGCCCCTGTGAAACTAAACCGTGACCTTGGCACTGACCGAGGCTGGTTTGAGTGGGTCAAGGCAGGCCAAGGGTTGCCTGACTAGATCCACATCTGCTCGTTCAAGCAGACGGAAGAGAAAACGCAGTGACTGTCCTTATGCATTCTAGACCCCTGGAATGGGAACACTTCTCTGGCTCCCTTGTTTTTTAGTTCTGTTCTTCAAAACATGGCCAGAACTGCTGGGTAGGGACTCGAAGATAGTGAGCCACAGACTAGTTTTGATCAGCTTAAAGCTTTATTCACCCACGAGACATATACGTTAATTCAGAGATCCGAAAATGAAGTTCAAAGCACTTATTCCACCCTTCCAACAGCTGTTTTACTGTACAACAAGAAGTTATTAAAACAAGGCTCTAAAAAAGGTTGCCTGATGCTGGGAAACGGTTACTATTTTAATACTGCTGTTTATAATATGTCAGCAGAAGCTGAGTTTTTAAGCAAGTAAAACAGCCACAACCAAAATTTCTTCTGAACATTAAAAATGATGCTTTGTTCATTCCACTTATCAGGCCAGTGATTTTGCTAGCAGGTTGGCTGTTGTGAACTTAAATACACTAAACGCTGGCGTTTTGTGGGGTTTCATTTTTTGGGGGGCTGGCGTGGACGGTAAGTTTTTTGGGTTTGGTTTGGTTGGTTTTATTCTGTGCTCATTTCCCATTGCTCCAAACAAAATCATGTAGCTGAAAGAAAATGCATCCTATACAGAATTTTTGTTTCTTGGAAAAATATATTCCTTATTTACTGAGGTGTACAGAAATTGTCATTTACGAACTATAGCACTGTTACTCTTGCCCTCAGCTATCTCCATATGTTCTTTTTGAACAGAAGATAACAAGGTGCACAGCTGAAATTAGGAGATTGGAGTTTTGCATTTGGAAATTTAGCTGGATTCTGTAAATCCTTCCTCCCTCATTTAACCTTCAGAATAACATGTTTTCCTTAGTCACAGCTACTCCACAGTAGTCAGGTTCCTACAAGAATCTAGAATTCTGAATAGTCACTGTGACACAAAATCTTTGTTCTTCATCCACAAGATTACTGAACAATTCCTCTAATTTTTTTTCCCTAAGACATGCTTTCCCTTCTATCTGGTCTAAACATAAACTACTGCTAAGTAATAGCAAGATTTGTAGATGAAGGTGACAAACATGGAAGCTGAGAAGAACCAAAATCTCAGGTCTTTGTCCTATAAAAGTGCATCAACAACCAGGAGAATCCAAGTATTTTCAGTTGTTTGATGTGAAAGGATTGGGTTTTAATTACGGACAAGGAAGTCAAGTCTGGCTTACGCTTGGCTGCACTAAGGAGGGAAGAATTTCCAAAGGAATCAGGACACAGAAACAAGAGTAATACATACAGCGTTTTCAGAACTAGTCTTGTGACCCTGTGAGTCCCTAGAAGTTAATAAAAGATAGGAAGGGTGACAGTTCTGGACAAAGGATTCTAACTTTGTTATTTGTATTAATAGTACGTCAAGCGTGGCCTCCCTGAAGAGGATGAACAGTCAATACTTCCTTATGACGTAAGATTTTAAAAATTCTTATTTCTCCAAGCGTGGAATAGATAACTAGAGTTTAGCAGTCACTTTATACTGCAAGTTTATAAAAATACATAGTTTTAGAGGCATTCTTATAAACGCTTACTCCTCCACCCTTCACCATATAACTACAATATTATGGGCAAAATATCTGCTGCTAATTCTAAAAAATTTTGGCTCCCACCCACTAAGAAGCCCTCAAGAACACGTTTTACTAAATTAGCAAAACCAAAATGCACCAGTGTGCGACACGGACAGAGCATGCAATGAAACATGAAGTTCCCGCCTTCGCTCCCGAGAACACCCTGCCGGAGTTTACCCAGGACACGGACTGTGGCACAGCTGCCGGGTTTCCGTACCCAGCCCCGTTAAGAGAAGGGAAGCCCACACTCCACGGGAGATAAAGACGACCCCGTGCTTGCTTGGAGGATGGAGCAAGTTACCAGCATTGAGGGGCCTCCATGACTTCAGAGAGCAGACCCACAGCGCACCATCGGCTCAAATACAAACTGACAACAGCAAGTAATCCTAGTCCCTACGCAAGGCACAGATGTTCTCAAAAGTCCGTACTGCTTTTGTCAAAAGAAAGAAATCATTAATAATATATACAGGAAAGCTTACTATTAACATCTGAAATAAGCACTTACCAGGAACGAGCACATCACATATTACAAAACCAGGACTTATCTCCAGTATCCCATGATGCATACCTGGTTAACTTTATTGTTTTCCTGAATTCATTAGTAATCGGAGCTTTGTAGCCTCCTTTCCTCAATAAGGAATCTATGGTTTGAATGTGGTCCCATCCTGTTGAATTTTACAGTAGTAAAAATTAGTGAGAAACAGAGCAATAAGAATGGATGTTGCAAAAACACAGTACAGTATGTAGTGCTATTGATAATGGAAGTGCTCTGCTGAAGTTCTGTAGAAAACACAGATCATTCTTCTCTACTTAAGAACAGTTAAAGGAAATATGATGCACAGGATCTTTACACACAGTTTGCTCTACAAACAAAACACATTTTGATCTCACAGTTGCAATATTGTAAAAGTGGACCCGCTATATCCAGGTCCTAGATTGGGAGAAAGATACAAAACTAAACTTTTCTGAAACATTCAGGTATGATCATGTATCACAATCTCTTTACAAATGGCCGTGAAAGTATGAAAAATTAAATTTCTGTATAAGAATTATACGTTGAACATATGCAGAGAACTTCAGAGATTAGACTTCTTCCTAAATATCACTTAACTTCACAGTGATATGTCTAATTTCAGAACTACTACACTGTATTATAGGTGTATGGGTAATAAAAAAATGGATTAAAGATGTAGATTCATTACTGTTATCAATAAAATCTTCATGCTATTCAAAACTTCTATTTATTGATTTAAAAATCCCTAATATTTTATAATATTTTAGAAGTAGCTGTTAGACATGTTATTTCCAAAAAATGCAATTAGAATAGTCACATTAAAAAAAAAAGGAGGGGGTGGGGTGTACTTTTGTGTACATAGAGAAATACAAATGGGTAGTTTTGGGTACTTTAAAGAGTCAGATTGCAACACATTGTCTACTAAAACCCACCCCAAAAAAAAAGCTTAGAAAGCCTCTAAAGCTTTAAATGACTATTTGGAAACAGAATTATCCGTTAAAGATGCTCCTCAGTAAAGGTTTCATCCCATTCCTTAGTAGACTGATTCAAATATAAAAAGGAAAAAAAAAAAGCAGCAATACAGAATGTGAAAGATCGAGACACACCGTCAAGCTTCGCAGAAAAAACAAAACCCCACAGTAAGTCATCAAGAGTCAGCTGCTCAGTCCAAAAGATTACTAGTCATCAAAATCTACCACAGTTTTTTTAATTCACAAACTTAAGTCTATTAAAAGGGACTTTAACAACATTGTTTTGGACTTTCATATTGAAAGTAATTCCCTGCCATCCATCAAAAAACCCAGAAAGCCAGCGTTTATAAAGAGAATTAAGTACTAGCAGAAAGTACCCAATTGGAAAAACAAAACAAAACCAAACCAAAAAACACACAACTTGCAAATCTGGGACTAAATCGGCTGTTTAGATAATTGACCAGCCATCCCATCACTTAACAGAGTTTTTGCATGTCACTGCCATCACGGCGTAACAACTATACGAGAATTGGCAGCTTTTAACAAGTGTCAAGTTGGCTGGCAGCACTGGGCCACCCCCCTGTGTTTTATTTTCCTACAGCTACACTGCACTAATGACTTGTTTAAACAGCTACAGCTTACTGAATCCCTATAAGGGGATCGATACAGGCATGTAATTGGCATTTTATATAAGAGTCTTCTTACAATTAAATATTGCTCCATCTCATCTGACATCAGTGCAAGGTCAAATAGTGCATTTTAGATTTATATGTATGTTTACAATCTTCACCAGATCATATGAAATAAAGCGCAACAATGACCTTGCTCCTTTGCAACCTCCGGTAAGTAGGTGGCGGTGCGTTTTGATCCTTTTTCATTGATGAATTCTATCCTAATGCCATGTACGCCCACCTGCAAGAAATTGGCAGCTTTATTAGTGCATTAAAAGAAAAAAAAGATACAAGAGATTTCCAACATGATAAAACCCAAAATGTAAACCTCTCGGGGGTTAGTGCCCTTTTGCACAGAGTTTCCAGAGGTGGTACTGACGTGAATGCAATCTTTGAGAGGTGTTCACCCTTGTAAGGTCAGTAGCAGCACAAAGATGCTCCTCAGCTCCCCATCACGGAGCTTCATCTGTGGTCTGAAGGAAGGCCAGCTGAGAGGCAAAAGTCCTTCTGTCCGAGTCCAGTGTCCCTCTGACATCAGCAATGTTCTTGCTGATAAAATCTCCTTGCCACCAGATAACAGTCCGCTGGCAACCAGAGAGCTGGCAAATCTAATAATGCTTCAATTAAGAGCACTAATTTTGTTCAAAGTAACAACTGAACAATGAAAGATTTGTCACGCTATGAACTTGAGCCTGGAGCCCTCGAAATTTTTGCTGATGTATAACAAGGAAAAGGAGATAATCCAAAGCATTCAGCTTCAAACTCCTACTTCCAGGCTACTAAGAACTCTAATATGACAAAATACCAGTATGGAAACCAAAATTACTAATACCAAGGAGTTAGATGTATATAAAGTTGAACTGCCAAAAAAAAACCCCAATAAAACGAGGCTGAGCCCCTTTCCAGAGCACTGTTTAAGCATCCCTGTTTTCAAGGTACAGCAATTCTGTTGAGAGCACCTGCACTTGGATCAGGCATGCCATAAATGATATTCCATTGCCAGTAAATTTTCAGTTGCTTTTGAGTTCTGTGCTTCAACACGAAGCATCAGCAGACGGACTTCTGTATTTTCATGCCCACATAACTAAGATGTTATTTCCATTTAAATCCAAAGTTCCCAACATTTCATGTAGAAACGAACAGTTTACGTTTACAAGGGCATCATGATAGTTGGTATGGCACCTCTTTCTGGACACAAAGGTAACCAAAAATGCTCTAACAGGTTTTCCAGTGAAACCTATTTTACTGTAACTGCGTGATAGTCAAAAAACAAATAAGGAATATTTACAAAGCTCTACCACTTGTTCAATTAACATATTTGCTTACATTAAGACCTTATTTTTTAATCTTTATATATGATATAAGCATGGGGAAACAGAAGGAAGGGTCTCTCTTGTGGCTGGCCACGGCCTCAACAATTTTTCCCCATGACCCTAGCATTTCTTAAATAGGAAAAAAATACTTTGAGACCAACAAATTTAATTCACTGCAAACTTTAACGTGGTATTTCATTACCCAACACTCCTAAACCTAACTGTCATAACATGCATGCATAATCACAGGAGAAATCAAATCTATATACTCAGATGATGTAACGATGAACCCAAAGGACCTGAAAGTAAAATGAAACAGTGTTAGAAGCTGAACCGAGCCTAGCCAGTTTATTCCAAGAGCACAGTAAGTTTTTGCAGGTGGTGAGTCTGTAACTGTCGATATTCAATTGCTTAAGCACCACGATCAAATATTTTCACGTTTTGCACACCTTCAGATCCTGCAGAATATTAGATTCTAAATTCTACACAACTCTTTTGCATAATAGTGATCACGTAGTATTCATGAGAAACTAACCAGAAGCACAAGTGATGTATTAAGTAGGATGCAACATTCAAGCAGTAGGCAATTGCATTGCACTGGATGTTTCCCATTAACCATTTTAAGGGACTTTTTAGGCCCATGTCTGTAGAAGAAAAAGATGTAGAGCAAAATGAATAAGGCAACAAACACAACTGCACCCACAGTTCCTCAGGTTGGGAAAATTTCATAGCATTCTGTGAAGCACGGACTCCAGCTGCGTAGCTATGCAGAACTCTCCGTCCAGTACAAATGGCTTTTCATTGTTGAGCTCCAGTTAATCAAAACCAGGCCCGAGTTCAATAAATGGAAGCCACACGCAAGCGAAGCAAGAACAATCCATGCTAAAATCAGCATGGGCACAATTAGGAATTTATTCTGACTTCCTCAAGAGACCAATGTTCCTGCCTTGATGAAAACTTCCGAGCAATTTCCCAAAATATTCCTCTCTAAGGTAAGGTAAGGGGTAGGTACCCCTTTGGAAGGCATTAACTGGGCTGTAACTGGCTTGCCTACCAAGCTCAGCACAGAACTTCACACAAAGCCTACGGCCTGCTCCTCAAACTAAAAGTACTGACACACTACAGGCCAGTTTTTGTTGAATAACGACTTCTGTGCAGTTCAGAAAAAAACAAACCAAACAATCTTCTTCTGCAGATGGAGTTTAAGTTCTGTCTCGTCTATGACCATTTATTAGGGAAATGACTTTATACAGGTATCCCTCTGAGGGATGCGAATCTGTGTAGCCTGTTGCTATTGGGAGAACAAAGCGAGATAAGTCAGAAAGTAAACAAACCAGTCCCCTCCAACAGGAATATTTCGGTAGGGTTTAGGGCATGTATACCGTGTATCCAATACTTGCGGCTGTAAACGTTTTGTCCCACTGTGTAAGTGGCCAGAGGCTACCTAAAACTAGGTCCAGTGACAATGTTAATTAAAAAACACGGACCTTTCACTAAATCTATGGATGGCATTAAACTACATAAACTACATTTTTTTAATTTTACTTCTGAAGTGACCTCAACAGAACTTCAGACTTTGTTGTGTATTTATACACATTCATATTCATTTATGCCCATTCTTTTTTTAATGACTCATTTACTTACATACACCTCAGGATGGGGGAAAAACATGCACACACCACATTTATTGTTTTGCCAAGTGCTTCTGGCACTTGCTTGATTATTGTCTGTAACACCTCTCTCTACATACCTATCTCAGTTGGGCTAAGGAAAAATTGTTCCAAAACCCACCCCGAAACCGATGTTTGAGCAACTCTCATGTTCAACTGTTCTGACCTAAAGTTCCAAACACAGTTTACAAATCTGTTCCTCTTGTACAGATTCTCCAGCCACACTGAGAGGAAGAAATAACATTATTCTCATTAGGCTATCAACATGGAATTTGGATAAGCATCTAAAACATCAGGCCTGGTTGAAATTCAGGCTTCTAGTCCACTGCGGAGTAAATCGTCATCAAGTAACCATTCTCTCCAGTTTTATCTACTGCACTGAAATCTGCAAGAGATTTGCATGCAATTATCCTGAATTAGTTTAAGATTAATTATTGTAAACATTTTTCAGAAATACATTAAAGCAGATAATGAAGAACCTGTCACAAAGGAACCATGTGCAAAGCCCCAGAGCTGGAGCAGTGCAGCACCTCCTTTGTGTTACGAACATGCGTTTGCCTGTTCCTTAACGTCCCTCCCTGATTGCTCTTCTCCTCCACTCAAGGCCAGAGCCACGGCTCGATGCACAGCCCCTACTGCCAGCACACCAGTCAAACCACGACCAGCTCTGCTTGCCTGCCTCTCGGGTCTACCGGCACCAGCATTCACGTAACCGCATGACGAACCAGACCAGGCCGTTCTGGGTTACGGCTGATCCTTCCACTGACTCAACAGTTTGCCAGCCCAATCTTTGAACAGCAGCAAGTCATGAACATTTTCAAACAAAAAAGCTGGCCTGTCACTTGTACCATGTTCCTTATGACACCACATAACACAGTAAGTTTCCCCTTTATTTACCTGACTAGTACTATGGAAATTGCTGTATGCAAACTTGTCTGGAAATAGAACACTTCAGATTAAGCGACTACTGGTACTTATCAGAAGCTGACCCCACTTTTTATTAGGTGAGTTCTACAGCTTTTTAGCCCCACATTTGTAGCAAATATGCCACCTTCTTTCCAATCATCTTCAGTAGGGCTTAAAGATTACATTCTGATTCAACAATGGAGGCAAAAGACTACTCAGGAGATATGCTCTCTGCTTCCTGACAAGCATTCTTTTTTTAATGAATAATTTATTTACATATATGGCACCACTGAATATCATCTAAAGAATAAAATACTGAGATCAAGACTCTTTCTTCTCTGTTCTAATGAATGTAAAGAGTTGCTGATGCTGCTGCACTTGTGGGAAGGAAAGAATTTCCACAACTCTTAAATCTACTAACTTTGTCAACAATGAAAAGCCACCTTTCAGTCAACATTATTGGCTACAACTATTTAAGCTAATATTTAAACCAGAGCACACAGGCTAAAGGCCCTTTGTATCAACACAGCAAACATATACAATTCTGCAGATTTTACTTTACTGAAGAACAGCAACTTCAAGGCAAAGATCTCTTCCAATGTATTTTAAGGAAGAGCTGCTGGTCAATTCTACTTATTTATTACCCTGTTGGAATTACAATAATGTTTTCCAAAATGTTTATTATAATCACATATAACCATAACGTTTTAAGGTGTTTTAATAAAAAACATGAGGAGGGTCTGAATTAGCAAGACAGACTTGACCTTCTAGCAAAAACCTCCACAGATTCTTAATTAAATTAATGAGAAAGTGAATTAAAGGTATTCATTTGCTGTTACATGAAATGGAGAAGGAATGAGTAAGGGCACTTTACTTTTCTCTTTTGTATTGCTAGAAAAAAAAAAAGCACATGGGGATACATTAAATCATTTGCCATTGGAACGTACCTCGCAGCCATACCCTCTCAAGGAGGCAGAGCCTGTAGCACCGAAGCTGAACTGCAAGACCTACAACCTGATCCCACCTTACATGTGCCGTTTCTGGGATCTGAATCCACTCACAGGACCTTCTGAGTGTACGTTTATTTGCCCAAATTGCAGACTCACAAACCAAACAGAAGGACCTTCTACCGGACCCAAAGCCATGATACTTCACAGCACTCTATTCAAACTCTTCTATGTTCCTTCTTTTGGGGTGCTGCTAACTACACACACAGTTCCCACTGCAACACGAGATGCAAGTGTACCTGCATTGAGAATCAAGAGCAAAATTGGAGGCAGCCTGAGACAGGAATTCAAATTTGCGCAGGAAAGAAGAGACTTGGTAGAAGGACAGATCAAACAGATGAGCTCAAGGAGAACAGAAATACGGAGAAAGCTGAGTTTATGCAGTCAAGGAATGACTGCTATCAACATCACATTATTTAGAAATAAGTGGTCTTTATGACTTGTCTCCTGAATAGGAGCAGTACTATCAAAAAAAGAAACCTATCTTAGGGCTTCTCATGTTGCCTATTTCTTTGAGCTGGAAGGGTTGTGAAACTCCGCCCCATTAGCAACTGGACCACAGCAATATTTCATGGGTTCTCTCTAGCAGAAATGACAAAACAGTTCCTACACTCCCGGTGTTCATTTCAAAGCCCTACCTGTGTTCAACTGCTAGAGTGCACTGCAATTCTTACCAAGTCACACGTAAGTAAAAACGCTAAATTTTATTTTAGGAAGCATCCTCACGAACCATGGCATTGAACTGGTCCTTTAACGTTTGTGCTTCCTCCTAGTTACTTTTATAAAAGATGAAAATGGCAGCAATTTGAAAAATCGTAAGGGAGCTAATAGCAGCCAATTCACTCGTATCTCCTGTTTACTTGGTTGAAGTTTCTGCTGCAAAAGGATCCCACATTGCTTTTTACAACTGAAATACAAATTTATTTCGTTTGGGAAGATAATTCAGTAATCAGAGAAAAGAAGATCTATCACTCTGCTTCAGGATATAGGAGACACTCCTGAGCCATGTCTCCAAGTGATCTTGTCTCTAAGCCATCAGAGCACTGCGGCAATTTTGAAATATCGTGACCTCTGTCAGCACGTTGCTGAATTAGCTCCCACCAGATCAGCAGTAGCGTACCTCCTGAGGTAAGGTCTCCTAACCAGGCTGATGTTTTTCAGGATGATCTGGAAATTAGAATTATACGAGACGAAAGATACAGAATCTCTCTTTACGTCATACTCTAATGGCAAAAAGACATTTCAGGATGTCTAATGTTGCATAACTGCAGCTCCCTTAAAAGAAACACGGATGACATAAGCTGTCTCACTGACAGGGGCACAAACAGTGGTGAATCATTCTTTTAAGGATGAACAATTACTGATTTTATCTTTCTCATATTTATACACACACCCCCATCCCTTTTGCATGGAATGCTTGTGGATGATCAACAACTACGTATGATACAGTCACTTGAGAAGCACGTTTAACTTCTAGGAAAAAAAAAGAAAAAACCCACAACAAATCATGGAACCTACTTTGTGACCATTTCTTAGAATTCCTAGGAATCTGCAAGAGGTTTTAAAAGCCTGTCATTAAAAAATATTAAATGAAATAGCAGAGAGCAACTAAGCAAATGGGTAACACAAGGGCTGTTATATTTTTGACCCCTCCATTCTTCCTCCCAAGTCAGGGCTTTCCACCAAGAATAATCATGAGAATCCATAGTATCAGTCAGAACTGAGCAAGACTACAGTTCTGCATTAAGCTTGTTTACACTGTTGCTCAAGGAGTCTGCAACAAGATAAAGAAAGGGCATAGAAAGCAAAGGCCTCCTTTGTTTCGTACAAGTACTAAAGTTATGAATCAGACATCTCCCAAGGAACAAAGTTAAAACCAGTGTTTCCAAGGGAAAGTGGACTTCTGAACTGAGGCTTTGGTTTCGGCTTCTCTTTAAGGATGAATATTTTGGTCCTCGTGGAAGTTTATTATAGAGAGAATAAATAATATGTAATAATATTCATAGACTACCACATGCAAAGAGCTAAATGCTGTTTCATTATGCACTTTGCACTTTAAAGAGACATTTTCTGAATGTATTCAAAGTCTGATTTTTCATAAATTACAATAAATGAAATTAAATTGAAAACACATCACAATGGTTACTACCAGAAGTCAACCTAGCAGAGCAGAAAAATTCTACCAGTTTTCATTTTCACTTCTAGCTTGGTTTAGTATTAGAAGTCACTACAGTTTTGATTACTTGAAAAGATTGTTTAAAGTCCTCTAACAGCCCAGTGACAAGACAAACTACTTCTCTGAAAAAATCTTCTTGTTGAAAATGCGTGCACAGTTTCAGCTAAGATTTATTTTTTGGTCTGACGTTACATAAAAAATGAAAATTCTGATTATGGTGGAAACGCTGATAAACCCCAAAGGAACTTCCATTCATCTCACTGAGAATTACGTATCAGAAGGTAAGAAGCCCTTGTCATTACGAGCTGAACAGGAAATGCATTTTTATTAGATTTTCAGCTACTGTAAAATATTGAGGTTACTGCTGGATACCACCCTCCTGATACAGTAAGGCCTATTATCGTCTTAACAACAAATGAACTTCCTATTCAATATAAATTTGTTATGTGTGAGTACAACAGAAAGCTGCCTCTTCTCTTAAGAAATCCTAAATATTTAGTAGGATTAAGTCATTATTAAAGGGAAATCCTGTAACTTTGGTGGTGTCCCCACCATTGTAACGTGTCTGCTATCAATACGATGATTTTTTTCATGTCCACTCAAATATAGACTCAAAAAGCAACACAACAGTCATACTGACTGAGATGAGAAGTTCATCTTAAGTTCAGTAACTTGTTTTTTTGCAAGTGTCTACTACCAAATAATTCAGGAAAAAGCAGACAAATCCAGAATAACCCTTCCCAGAAATAATTCTAAAAGCCGAAATTTGCTTCTTAATCTCTTTGATGCTGCTGTTCCAAGAGAATGCATGCAGGTTTCCTACAACCTAACGACTAAAATAGATTCATCTCCATGCATAAGCAGCAAAGAAAAACAAGAGCAATGATTTCCTTGGCCTTGTTGTATAAGGGCTCTGTGGGGTCTGTGCAGGCCACTCGCTCTGAAAGCAAAGTTTTGGGAGAGACAAATGGCTCACTCCTACAAGCTAAACAAGGCAGCTTGTTTGGGGATTGCAATTTTTTGCAGCGCTTGTTTCCAGAAGCACACATCAGACTATTAACTTTCATACTGGAACATCCTCCTTCCAGAACAAATGGACGGATCTACCATGTTCCTGCAGTTAGCTCTGCTGCAAAAGAGGTCTCAGGACACCATCGCTCAGACAACGCCTTGCTTGAAGGAGTCTTAGACATAAGTACAGCTCTGCAGACCACGCTTGCTTTGAGTGCCTAAGTGGGCAAGAATACAACTTTATTCCATTTTCATGGCTCAGACTTTTAAGGTGATGACAACAGTTCTATCAAGAAGGATCTTTTGAATCTACGCACAAAACAATGTGTGCAGAGCGCAAAACGGTGACAACTACACTAAATATATGCAGATAATTTAAACAGTGTGATTTCTGCTGTAGATGTTCATGGTATCAAAGTAATTTTCTTATAAGATATCCAGCATCCTTACCTCCCAGTCCATGTAGTCACATACATCTTCAAAGTTAGTGAGTAGAGACACTGAGCAGAAAAGCCGTGGCAGCTCATCCCTCGTCATTGGGGGGAAACGACTATCTTTAAGGGCACTGTTGAAGACAAAACAGAATTTCAAAGGATTTTTTTTTCTTTTTAAAAGTTCCAAGGATCTAATGAATCAACTGAAAAGTATAAAGGACAAAAAAAAATCCTTATGAAATGATGACCAGTTTGATAATCCAGTTGCCAGTGTTACACACTGAACAACATTCCCAACTTTTCCCTTAGACACTTGGTTCAGTTCTTGGCTGGCCAGTCAAGTGGCGTTCTGAGGGTCGCTCCTTCCCGAGCTGGTTTTGCTACTGTGACAATCTTAGTGCTGAAGCAGCAGAAAGTTTTTGGAAAACGTTATAAAAGCAATAGCTCTCCTACTTGCAATTTAGTAAATCCCTTTCAAAAACGATTAAACTACACAACATAGAGGGGGAAATTCTATAGCCTGCAATAATCAAACACGTAGTACAGTAATCAAACTGTAGAACTTAATAATTCAGTGAAAAAAACCCAACCCAAACAAGCAGAACATTCTCCAAAACCCAATAATATTCATGCTTCTGGCAAAGGTGAATACAGAAAGGTAAAAACATCCGAGGGCTCTACAGACTGTTAACCTATGGGACTTGAAGATGTTCTGCAAAGCAGAGGTGATGATTAGTAACAAGAAGCTTGCACACAGCTAAGCTAATCCTCAGGCTAACGTACCACTCTACAGACAAACACACACCTGACAGGGAAAAATTCAATACACAGAGGAGCTATCTGTGCACACTCCAGCACGCTTTGAAGGACGAAGCAGTTAACAGACAGCAAGCAGTACCAAGAGTAAGAGCATTTGTAAAAACCTACTTGGGTTAAGTGTGGTTAAGAACCAGTTAAATTGGAAAAAGGGAAGGTTAAAGTGAGCATGGCATCTCCTAACTTTTTATTCTCTTCAGATTTGAAATACGACATGCATGGATACAAACATGCTCATCTCCAACAAAAACAGTGATCTGCTAACTGAGCTTTTTGATGAGTAAAGAGAATTTAAGAGACTTACTAAAGTACTACCAAGTTCTTTACGTGTTTCATTGTTTCATCTAACAATTAGATCATTCTCATTTGTTTTTACTTGGCAAACAACCAGCGGTTGCCATTAGCTGATACAATTACAGCCATGGCCATGGTGTTTAGAATATGGCTGAAGTCTCTGCATCAGACACCACCATTTCACAAAAAGACAAGTCTAACTTTATTAAAGCAGATCAAATAAGGACGCATAAGCAAAAAAAATCGTAAAGTTTAGCTAAAGGAAATCATTGTTGGTATAACCAGAAATAGCTTCCCATCATGAATTAATACCATACGCTGAAGCATTAAAAGAGAACCTTTATTTTCTGGGGCAGAGGGAGGGCAGGCTTTTTCCCCAGATACGCTACAATTACAAAAAAGAACATAGTATTGGAATTTAGACTAGAAGCCCTTCTCCAAGCTGTGGTATTTTTACATTACAAAGTAGGTCAGAAATTTAGATTTTCATTATGAAGACAAATTCCTTATATAATTAAGTAACGGTTAGCAGGACTATGCCACCCATTACCTAGGAGTACTTCTTGGCAACCCCAGGTAAAGTTGCCATAGACAGGAGAGACGATGTTGGGATGGTGAGTAACTAGCCAAGATAAATCTTCTCACATTTACATAGGATAGACAGGCCTTTGAAGAACTGGCAACACTGAGGAGATTTAAAGCATAATGCCTGTGATATTAACTAATGACTTCCACTGAATATGTATCAAAAGATGGTATTCTCCAAGATTTTGTTGATGGGATTTGCAAAGCTACTTTTGTGACTGCTGGGAACCAGGCAAAGTTATCACCCGCTGTTGCCGGGTGTTTCAGAGCAGCATCAGAGATCAACGCATACAGCCACAGCATAATAGCAACACATGACGATATGAACAGGTAATTCAGCCCTCATATCCCTCCATGGAGGGGTGAAAAAAAATATAATAAAAAATATATATGTGTAATGGGAAGACACTCTGAACACAGGGGCAGCTCAAACCAGAAGTCCACCTAGCCTACTAGTATTAAGTAGTAACAAAGAGCAGTTAGTAAAATGAATGAATATAAGAACATGGTAAATATCCAGAGGTACTTTCCTGGAATACTCTCCAGGAATCCAGCTGTTTATAGCTTAGGTATTTTGAGCCAGAGATGATATCTCTGCACTTCGAAGCTTTTCGCGGGTTTATTTAGTAAGCGCATGCATACACGCCTTTGATATTTTACCCCACCTTGTACTAAAACCCAAAAAACTATGTTCAAAATCCCCAATCCTCTTAAATTCCATTGCTACTACAAATTTGCTTAAATGCAAATTTCTCATTTCCCTGCAGTATGCTGTACCTCTAGCATATAACCAATCTATTTGAATACACTACTGAAAAGCATTCAGAGACACAGACATTGCTTCATTAACAAACAACAAATTCAGTTATCTTAGGTAACAACTGTATGCATGGATATTGCCAATACCTATTTAAACCTTTTTTTCCATAAATGATCCAACAATCTTACTATGCAAAACATTTCCCATATTGTAAGACGTTACAACCTTCAAAAACTTTTTTTTTTTTTGCACAACTCGATACTAGGAGCTTATCTAACTTTCAATTCCCCTTCCTAGAGCTGCCAAAATATACTTGTGAATTCCAACTTTTTGAGGCAAAGGTTGTACTATAGGTGCAGGTTTGATCCCAGTAGCGTTAGCATGAAAAACTCTCAGGCAAACTCCCACTCACTGAAGATCTGCTGCGCTGATGTGACTAGATAAGAAACCATCCATAATTTAACTTAAAGTTGCACAGAAACAAACATCACACAATGCACACGTAAGCCACCTCTCAGCTAGACTGCTCAAATGCTGGGATAATAATGTGAAATAAGATGGGTGAATCATGACAAAAATGGAACATTGATACAAAGTTGAGATTTGAAGCCTTCACACAAACACAGTGGGAGCAGAAAGGCACAAAAGCCTCAAAAAAATAGAGCAAAGTAGTTCAGTTTTGGTGAAAGGAGTGCAGTAAATCTTGCATGCTTATCGGCAAGCTTAGCCAGCTAATTCCATTATTCAATAATATGACACTGGCACAAACACCTCGCTTTCACATAACTACCTCAGGATAACTAAAATACTGTTTATCAAATGACAGTGCCATTTCAACTATATCTAGTTCCTTCCCAGCTGCTAGGTGCTACTTTAGCTGTACAGCCTGCTGAAAAATTGCTCCCCAACACCTCCCTGACTATACCCATCCGTGCACACATCCTGTATTAGCGCTCTTGCTGCAGAAGGTGAGAGAGATATCTGGCAGAATGAGATCAGAGATTTGAGTATGTGACTGAACATTCCTG